ACCTTACTACTCGTCATTCTAATTGGCCTAAAGATGTTAGCCGTAATTGATTGGCCGATGCCGTAATATTACAGCATACAGCATTACAGCACTTTTCGTAATACTGTAATTAGGCCGTAATGCTGTAATTGGGTCGTAATGCTGTAATTAGGTCGCAATGCTATAATTAGGCTGTAATGTCGTAATTTTTAATGGCATAAAAATTTAAAATAAAAGTAATGAATTATAAAAGTAAATTACAATAGTTTATATGTCGTGTAATTTTAATTTTTAGGGGGTACATAAGACGCGTCGCATTTTTTTTTGTATTTTGTATACGCGTTCATGTAAAGAAAAAAATTATATAATGAACTAAAATCCCTAGGAGTGGGTGGTCGGGGTAGAAGGTGGGAAATATTAAGTTTTTTTCAAAAAATTTATATTAAATTAGCATAATATCTTTAATAATTAGATAATTTTATGCATAATTTACATATAAACTTTTTTACAAAAAAAAAAAATTATTATNTTATGCATAATTTACATATAAACTTTTTTACAAAAAAAAAAAATTATTATTATTATTATTTTTGATATTATTTACCCCTTAAAATTGAAATTACACGGTCACATATTTCCTAAAATCCGAAATCCGAAATCCGAAATATAATTCCGGCCGAAATTAACGTAATTTCACTTAAACATGTAATTTCAGCCGAAAATCATAATTCAGCCAAAACGGGAATGCAGATCTTTCCTTTTTTGGCGATAGCCGTTCCACAAAAATTGATTTTAGTGGAAACGACACTGGAATTTTGTGTAACAACACTTTCCTTTTTAGGATATTTGTTAATTTCTGCTAAAATTAAGTGCATAATTCTGGCCGAAATTACATACGTAATTTCGGAATTACGGCATTACGGATTAGTTACGGCATTAAGACCTAATTACAGTATTTCGACCTAATTATGGCATTACAACCTAATTACAGCATTACAACTTTTGCTTTTTAATGTAGATAGGTTGCAACCTATTACATACGACACTGTGTCTTAATATTACAGTTACGGCTAACATCTTTAAATCGGCCTACCCAAATTTCACAAATGATGGCCATATTACCTTCTTATCTTGCGAATCTCGCATCCTTAATTTTTGATTGTTCAGTTCCAGTCTATATTCTACGATACCTTTATCTGAATTTAAATCCTTTTTACATTCATAAAAGAATTTAGTCTCTGCTTTCCTGAGTACCAAATTCGCACAATACCTTACAAACTCTGTGGAATTATAGATGCTGTCGGAATTATTTTTACGGTTACGGTATGTGCCGTAATGCCGTAATTAAATGCCGTAAATCGTAAACACCATGATGCCGTAATGCCGTAATTGAATTTAACGCTGTAATGTCGTAAATATATATGCCGTAAATGAATAAGACTAAACTTAATTTCAGCCAAGTTCGTAATGCTGGGTCAATTTTTTTCGCGTTTCATCACGTGACGTTACACAGATTTCCAAAAAGGAAATTATGTCCCTCAATAAAATTGAATAATTGGTTGCACAAGGTTACATGAGTTTCCAAAAAAAGGAAACATTCCTGTCGATCGTTTAGCATTTGTAAAAGTCACGTGATAATGATTAATTACGGCGCCACATTACAGTTACGGCATTATTTACGACATATGTCGTAATGCCGAAATGTCGTAATTAGGGAATTCCGACAGCACCTATATGTGGAATATTATACAGCATTACGTGACAAACATTTTTCGAACTCTCTTGAAACTTTTATTGATTCAGTATTGTCAGTTGAAAACTGGTCAATTGTCCTTGACCATGTCTTAGTTGTTCTTGGATATCAAACAAGCTGCTGTTGCTCATTTTCAATCTGTTGTCTCGCTTCCATTGGTCCATTATTCCTCTATTGCTTCATTCCCTCCACGATGGCAAAAAGCTTACACTCCTTTTTCTAGAGTGATACGAATAGTAGTAGAGTATGGTGGAGGTATTGAGTAGAGTATAACGTGGATGTGGCATTATACTCAAGTGATAAATAAACACCTCGGTCCAAGCTCAGCCCAGCGGTTTGGCCGGGTGTCTATTCATCACTTGAATATGGTTCACACCCTTTATGTTACACACCGCTAAACATCACAATACTCTACTCAACACACCGGCCCTACTCTACTACTTTTCGTCTTACCTCTTTTTCTAATGTATCTGCCTCACTATTCAACCCGATCCTGGTTCCTATTACTCTTCAAGAATGGTCTGATGTTATTTCTTCTATGCTAAATAACAAAGCTTCCGGTCCTTCAAAAATATCCTACGAAATGTTAAAACATTTATCCGGTAAAGCTTTGGATTTTTCTCTTTTACTTGCCAATACTTGTCTTCTTCGTGGTGATATCCCTGCTGACTGACGTGAAGTTGTGGTCTATCCTATTCCCAAACCTCATGATTTCGATGCCCAACTCAAGAATACACGACCTATCACTCTTTTGGAAACTGTTTGAAAATGTATGGTTAAAGTCATCACTAATCGTTTTTCTAATATCCTTGCTGATAATCATGTTCTTTAAAAAGGTAACTTTGCTGGTTTGCCTGGTGGCTTCACTGATGTCTCTATCAAAATGCTTGATGTGATTATTCATCAATACAAACATGATTCCACTGATGATCAGGAACTCTGGATCGTTTCTCAAGATATTTCTAAAGCTTTTGATTCTATGGATTTAAACATGCTTAAATTCGCTTTAGTTAGACTTCATTTACCTGCACTTTTAGTGCAATTCATTCTGAATCTTTTTACTAAGTGGAATAATAAGATCCTTACTTGTCATGGTGATACTGCTTCTTATCGAGTACGTGTGGGTATTGATTAAGGAGAAATCATTTCCCCCCTACTTTGGATTATTTATTTGGATCCTCTACTTACGGTTTTGAATAGCGAAGCACGCGATCCTTTTGTTTTGAAATCCTCAGCTCTATTAGACTATTCTCCACTTGAATTTGAACAACATTCTTTGCCGATTTCCCATTTAACCTTTATGGATGACTCTATACTTGTTGCTTCTTCAAAGTCTGGAATTGAAGACTGTCTTTCAATTACTGCCGAATTTTATACTTTAAATAATGTTCAAGCTAATTTGGCAAAATATGTCCTTCTTTCTTTTTTTCAACCTTTTTCTTTGATTACCTTTAATCTTTTACCTTCTCCTTTGGTCTCCAATATTTCCTTCTCTCTCTCCTCTTTGGCTCTTGGTACTTCTTTTTGCTTTTTAGGCGTTTAGTTTTCTTTGTCCACCTCTTCCCAATTTGTACTTAAACAAGCACGCTCCATGGTTAAAGATATGGCTGCTTTTCTTGGTCCAAAGAAATTACTTGTACAACATGTAGCCTATCTCTATAATGCTGACCTTCTCCCAAGATTGGAATTCCGTCTACAAACTACTCTCTTTTCAGAAAGTACTATTCAATTGATAGTTAACCTGATGTTTTCTGTCCTCAGACGAAAAGCTGGTCTTGCTGCTACTATGGTGCGGCGCACCTATACTCATCAATTAGTCCGAAATTCAAATTATAATAAAGTCACGTGAAATTCACGTGAAATGGTTTTTATTAGTCGTTAAGCAATCAGTTTTTAATTTCGCGGCGTAAAACATAAACTAATCAAATTTAATTTGGTTTAATTCTTCTATAACTTCGTCCGGAATTCTTCTATGAGATCTATATTTTTTAACTGCATATTCAGCTAATTTTCCACCAATTCCTTTTTGATATAAACTCATATAACGCCAAGCTTTTCTTGCAAATCTTCTAATTGTAATTAATGAAACTGATTCAAGACTTTGGGGTACAATTTGTTTTAATACTACCCATGAATAATTACAGTTTTCTCTTGCATGCCTCTTTGCAGCCCCCCAATAACGCTCAATAAAGTTAAGTTCACAATGAAATTTTGGGTAAAAAATAAATTTGTGACCTGCCTTTTCAATTATTTCAGCAATTGCACCCTTTTGAGCAAGAAAATCTGGTTCTAAGGACATTACTCGGCGCGCACAACAATTAATTCGATTTTCATCATCATTTTTTTCTTTGCATTCTTTGCATTCCAACATCAATCCACCATTAGGCCATTTTTTTCGTTCTTGTAATATTTGTCTCAGTCCCTTAGGCTGACCTCGAAGCTTTTCATTTGGATGGTCATCAGAAAATACCATTGATTGCAACTGGTTATCAGGACCCCAGTAAGTATCACGCATTTTTGGTTGCAAACCACCAGGTTTTAAGTTCATTTTTTTTGCCACTAATGCATCTTTTGCAAATATTGCATGATTTGAACTGTTATCAAATGCAAAAATGCCGATACAATTTGGATAAAGAACTTCAAATATAGGAATTGCTTTAATCTTTATCTGTTCAATGACATTTTCTGCCGTCCAATAACCTTCACGATCTTTACCTGGCTCTAAATATTCACGAGCTTCTACTGGAACATTAGGGTATTGTTCAATATTTTCTGGTTTCAATTTCAAACATCCATCAACTTCTGTTAAAAACTCGCTAATCATAATTGATTTACCATTACCTTTTTTCCGTAAAGGCAATTCACCATTTTTGGCCCATACACCACGTAATCCATCATTAGAATAAAAAATACATTAATCATGCGTTACAAAAATGTGCTCTTTTTCACCTTCTGCTAAATCAGGTAAGATCCGATCCATATTTTCACCTTCATAACGTGACATAAGCCTCTCATATTCAAAAATTTGTTTTAAAAAATCATTACTATATTGAACCACATACGCACGTTCATGTCCATCATAAAATATACCTTGCTTTTGTCTTTGCTTTGTATATCCAAGAATATGAAGCCAGCGGACTGCAGTTGAAATATTTATAGTTTTTTTCTTATTAATTACCAACTTAGCTAATAGATTGTGTTCTATAAACTCTTTGAATTTTATAGGCATGACTTTGTAATTTTGATCTCGAATCCAAGCATGACATTCTTAAGCAACATCTTCATCATCAATTAATCGAATGGTTTTTTGATGCTTTCCTTGATATGATATAGGAAGTGCATTATGAAGAAGCCAATAATTAGCCCAATTTCGTATTTGACGAGCTTTCCAAACTCCACCATCAACAAAAACCATACGTGCAACATTTAAACTTGCTTCCATTTTCCCACCACCATTTTCATCTGATAGTTTCAAATACTCAAATATTGCTCGTTTCTTATTGTATTCATTAACCTTCATTTTATTGTGCTGACTTCCTAATTCTTCTTTCAAAGCCTTCATTCTTGCATCAATATTAGTCACTTTACATATGTTTTCTTCCTCTGATCCACTTTGTTCACTTTCATTTTCAATATTATGATCGGTATTAGATTGAGCTTTATATACGGGAAAAAAACTTGTGATCTTTGAGGTGCCAAATGCCGCTTTGGTAAATGAGCCACTTGGTCCCCACTTATCATAATATGTTGATTTTGGTGTCTTACATGCACTATATGGACCTCGTTTCTTTTTTTCAAATTCGTTATTTACATCCCACTCTAAAAACAAAATAAATAAATAAAAAATTATTCTGAAATAATTGCTTTTATTTCTTACCTAACTCAATCATCATCAATTTTGATTGAGTATTTTTTTCCTTTTCTAAATCAAACTCATCCTCCCATCCACTGTCATCATCATCTCCCCATTCCTCTGCAGAAAATTCTAACTCAAGAGTGACGTCATCGGTCCCTTCTCTAATATTCAATTCATATTGTGTTGGATGGTTGTTATTGCTCCTTTTTTTTGTTCCAAACCTACCATCTGATGTCCGAAACTATTGCTTGTAAAGTTTTTGTCGTTTCTTGACGGGCGGCATTTTTAATTTAATGATAACAACGCGTGGGAAAATGAAAATTCTCAATATCTTCGTTACTGCGATTCATTATTTATACATGAAGATCAAAATTACATCATAAATCCATGTGAAATTTATCATTTCAGTTTTTCCGAATTTTTGATATTTACTAATAAAGACATATGATTTTACGCATTTTAAAACTTTAATAGTCCACCAAAAAATCATGTAATCTCAAATTAAAACCGATAGATTGAAAGAGAATAACCTAATCTATCATTCTATCGGTGTTAATTTTATAAATTACACAAAATGTAGAACTAGATAGATTTGGCAGTTACACGAAATTTTTGATGAGTATAGATGCGCCGCACCATACTCCTTTAACTTTGCTTTTCTTAAAACTTCCTTTCTCAATTCAGCATGCCTTTTATTAGTTCCTCTCCTCTCATATTGCATCTTGGCAAAAAATATTTACGCACCCTGATTTTCAAGATTTTGCCAAATATGCTATCTCCTATCTTCAAGGCTATTTGGGCGCTGAAAGTTGCCCGACTACTATCAACCTGGAACTATGGTCACAAGTCATTTCTCTTCAGACTTATATCTTGTTTAATTCGATTTTATTCTCTTCACGAATCAATATCATGTGGTCTCTCACTTTTCGACCTCCGAGGCGTGATTTACAATCTGCTTTACCATTGCGAACTATTTTACCATTGTCCATTTTTCAGAAAAGTTGGATTTTTGTCCTTGCTTAACTAGCTTCACCTTGTGAACGTTACCTTATGAATTGGTCTGATCTTAGATACCTTGGTATTGCTGGACAAAAAGAACGAATCCCTATTTGATTTTATTATATTAAAAATAATTTTCTTTCTTCTTCTTTTTCTTCTTTATTTTTATCTTTATATTTTATTAATTCTTATTATACTTTAGCTTCACCTTATCTATTAGATGAATCTACTAAAGATTATAGTTTCTACCCTCAATGGGCTATTAATTTTAATTCTGCTACCCATATTTTATCTGTTGGTCGTGTGTGCATCACTTACAGGAAAAAAGACTCTGCTATAATGTCTCATTGGCTCCTTGTATCCACCTCTGCCGATGAACAATCCTATAATCCTTGTTCTGGTTGCTCCTACAACATTCCTGCCTTATCCAAGAAATCTGCGATTAAATAACGTTGTAATAGCAAGAAATGTTTTTTCTATGTCTCCCTTTCTGCAACAACTAGATATCCTACTAAGAATGCCAAAGTATTTGCGGCCTATCTTCCCATAACTCTGTCTACTTCTTGGAATTATGCTACTTCTTTGGCTCTTACCCAATTGAATAATCCACCCTCTATGTTTTACACTAGCCCTGTAGTAACGAATGATGATGTTCTTATTTTGTCTTTGCCTTCTTCTACGCAGACTCTGTATATGGATGGCTCATTTCTTCAAGCACAAGATTCTTCTCCCCTTCTATGGCCTCAGCTTGGTTAGCCTTAGACGATGATGGATTTATTTTGGACTTGTCATCTTTGAGCATTCCCTCTCAGCTCTATGATTGGAAATTTATGCCATTTTCTTCGGATTATTAGTTCTTTCTCCTGGTTCTTCAGTTACGATTAATACAAATTGTGCTGAATTGATCATACTTTGGAGGTGTTTTGTTGACGCTCTTTTTTCTCCAAAATTACTTCGACAGCCTAATTATCTTCTTTGGCTTTCTATTAGGCGTCTTCTTCTGGACTTCAATTTGAAAATTGTATTAATCAAAATCCCTGCTCATAGTGATAATGCGCTAAATGTACAAGTGGATTCTTTAGCTAAAGCTGCGCATTCTTCTCCTCAGCCTTCCTTTTCACCTCTGGCTTTCTGTTAAGTGCCATGTGTATTGACCTTTAACTCCTTACCTATTGATATGAATATCCGCCATTTTTTGCAATCTATAGCTAATGCTCGCAACCTATTATCTTTTTGTTCATTGGCACGATTTACTGTGTTAGGTCCTCCTACATTCTTCGATTGGGCTGGAATTCATTTTTGTCTTTCCAGTATCAAAGGTTTTGCTTCGCATAAGAACGGTCATCCAGAATTTGGATTTTCTGTATCAAACTTCTTTTAGACATGTTGCCTACTTTGACTACCTTACAACAACGTAAACCTTATCTTTATTCTCTTGACTGGCTTTGCTCTCAATGCAATTCTGCTCCTAAAGATTTGAATCATCTTTGGACTTGTCACTATATTCTCCCTGATCTTAATCTGTGTTTAACATACCGTACTGAAATTGTAAAGTTCTAGAATAGCTGTTTTACTTCCTTTTCAGCTTTAAAGCTTTTGTCTGTCTCGTTCCAAGACTAATTTTCTGCACTGAATTGTTGGAATTTTGATACTTCTTCATTTTCATGTTTGTAGCTTACAAGAGGATTGCTCCCTGCTCATTTAACACCATTTTTGAAAAACTATTTTTCTCTCTCCGTGGTATATAAGACCCTTTCTCCTCTGCTTAAAGATTTTCAAGTCAAATTATATGATAAAATTTGGCTGTGTAAAAATATTCTTTTTCACGCTTGGGAAGAATCTCAAGGAATTTCTGCTTCCTCAAAAACCCAAGGCCTTTCTACCGTTTTTTCCTCTAATATTTCTTCTCATCATCACAACTCTTCTTTGGCGACAGTTTCTCAGAATTCCTGAATTTCTTGAATATTCTCTTCTATAATTCAGGGTGGATCTTGGAACTCGCACTTGGATTTTCTGCGCTGCTTAACAGTTCAACCTCTTAGGATTTTTTTCTGATAACGGACTGGATTTTTGGATGTTGAATAATTAACTCATACTGGCCTTCGGGTAAAGTTGGGGTATGCGATTCCGTAATAATCTAGTTTTCTTTGCTTTAATTTTATTTTAGTTTAGATTTCTTTACTTGTATGAGTCGTGAAGCTACTCTTTTTATTTTTTATTAGTTTATTTTCTTATTTTGTAATACTGTTCGATTTTTGATTTTCGAAGTTAAAATATAAATAAAAAATAAAGTCATAGGACTGTTCGCACAGTAAAAGGATAAACTGGGGTTGGTCACACTATCTCATTGGTTAGTCACTGAGACCCTTATTAAGCCTGAGTATGGTGAGGTCACAAGTTCGATTCCTATGATCACGGAAATAAAAAGAATTTTACTGTAGACGTTACAACCAATAGCGTGAAGGTACAGGAATTAGTGTAGTTGGACTGCATCATGATGAATTAGTGTGTACAGTTAGGCCGCACATTTCAACTAAGGGTCATAGTATTTTTTTAACGTTCCTTATGAGGCCATTGGCATATGCGCATTCCTGTCCTTGAGATTACTACTATACCTTGGGGGATTTACTGTCCAGGTGGTCACTCCACTATACCGCTTGGGGTCAGTAATGGCTAGATGGTTATCCTAGATGGTAAAGCTGAGGGTGCAATGTCTTAGTAGTAGTTTGACTTTCTGTTAGGTTTTAGACCAACTAAGGTATTCGTGCACAGAACAGGTAGCATAGTTATGGGGTTCGATTCCCCACTTCTTGGGTCCTGGTTGGTGATCTCTGGTGGTTGATACCTACCATAAGGGGTGATCCTGAACAGATGCCTGCTACTTCCTGTCTGAGTGATCACTACAAAGTATACCACTTGGGGTAAACAACTGTACTATTGGTACTAAGTAATCGCAGGCTGTAGTGGCCTTTGAGTAAGACTTAGTACCTAAAATAGTGGTATTGAAAAGTACTAGATGGTTGATGTTACCTGTCGAAAGTCCTTCATGAAAGTAGGTGCTCTCTAAAGGTCGTTAAATAAATTGAGTACCAGTATCATGCAATGGGTATAGGATGAGTAGGTGGCATATTTCTAGCTTTAGATCAACCTTAAAAGTGGCCCGATGGGATGTCTTCAATAGTGGTGTTGTTACCTGAGGAATTAAGTACTCAGTATAATGGTTGCCCATGAAGATGATAGAATACTAGCCCGAGGATGCCTCAAAAAGAGGAAGAGGGAGGCTTGGCCGTAAACACTAGCAAAGTAAAAGGATAAAACTCTAAGGGCTGATCACCCTAGTGCAATCGTTAAAGCGGCACTCTCTTATATAGCCTGAGTATGGTGAAGTTGCAAGTTTAATTCCGCTGATTACAGAAATAAAACGAATTTTACTGTGGACGCTACAACTAATAGCGTGAAGGTACAGGGATTAGTGTAGTTGAACTGCATCATGGTGAATTAGTGTGTACGGTTAGGCCGCATATTTCAACTAAGAGTCATGGTGTCTTTCTAACGTTCCCTATGAGGCCATTGGCATGTGCGCAGTTCTGTTTTTGAAGTCACTACTATACCTTGGGAGGACTTCCTGTCCAGACGGTCACTTCACGATACTGCTTGGGGTCAGTAATAACTAGATGGTTGTCCTAGATGGTAAAGCTGAGGGTGCAATGTCTTAGTAGTAGTTTGATCTTCTGTTAGGTCTTAAACCAACTAAGGTGTTTGTGCACAGAACAGGTGGCATGGTTATGGAGTTTGATTCTCTACTTCTTGGGTCTTGGTTGGTGATTCCTGGTGGTTGATACCCACCATAAGAAGTGATCCTAGAGAGATGCCTGCTACTTCCTGTCTGAGTGGTCACTACAAAGTATATCACTTATGCTAGGTAATCGCAGGCTGTAATGGCCTTTGATTGTGACTTAGTACCTAAAATGGTAGTATGGAAGGGTACTAGACAGTTGATGTTACCTGTCGAAAGTCTCTAAAAGTCGTAAAATAAATTGAGTACCAGTGTCATGCAATGGGTTAAGGATGAGTAGGCGGCGTATTCCTAGCTTCAGATCAGCCTTAAAAGTGGCCCGATGGATGATGTTCTCTATATGGTACTGTTACTTGAGAAATTAAGTACTTGGTATAATGATTACCCCTGAGAATGATAGGATACTGACCTGAGACTAGTCTCATAAGAAGTAGTGAGCCAGTGGGCGGTCTGGCCGTAAATACTAGCAAAGTAAAAGGATAAAACTCTGGGTTGGTCACCCTATCTCAGTGGTTAGTCACTGAGACTCTCATTAAGCCTGAGTATGGTGAGGTCGCAGGTTCGATTCCTATGACCACGAAAATAAAAAGAATTTTACTGCAGACATTATGACCAATAGTGTGAAGGTACAGGGATTAGTGTAGTTGGACTGCATCATAGTAAATTAGTGTGTACGATTAGGCCGCACATTTTAACTAAAGGTCATGGTATCCTTCTAACATTTCCTATAAGGCTATTGGCATGTGCGCAGTCCTGTCCTTGAGGTCACTACTATACCTTGGGGGGACTTCTTGTCTAGATGGTCACTTTACGATACCACTTGAGGTCAGTAATGGTTAGATGGTCGTCCTATATGGTAAAGCTGAGGGTGCAATGTCTTAATGGTAATTTGACCTTCTGTTAGGTTTTAGACCAACCAAGGTGTTCGTACACAGAATAGTTAGCATGGTTATGAGGTTCGATTCCTCACTTCTTGAGTCCTGTTTGGTGATCCCTGGTGGTTGATACCCATCATAAGGGGTGATCCTGAACAGATGTCTGCTACTTCCTGTCTAAGTGGTCACTACAAAGTATACCACTTGGGATAAACAACTGTACTATTGCATTGGTGCTAGGTAATCGCAGGCTGTAGTGGCCTTTGAGTGAGACTTAGTACCTAAAATGGTGGTATGGAAGGGTACTAGATGGTTGATG